AGCAATTAGTCCCAAAAAAAAACTTCAAAAGCAAGATTTATTATTAAAAGGCTATCTTAGAGAGGTCGGCTGCCCCTTTTACTTTCCTCCGCTCTCACCCAGGAGTGCACCATCGTGCAGCTTTTGCGTCACAGTCGATTCACAGGCTCAACGCACACTTCGCAATTTTTGCGACAGACGCAACACGGCACATGCATCTGGGCGATGTCGCGTCGTGACCTCTTACTGTATTTCTAGCTCTGAACATTATTCGTTCGTTTCAGTCTGGATACAGCAGTATCTTTCAAAGGCTGCTTCGGCTTATAAATATGAATCTATAGATATCGGTCATTATATTGGCCCTAGAACTTGTTTTAAGGTTGAAAGCTGAATAAGTCTCAATTTAGTGTCACTATCAACTACTATTACGACAGCAAGAAGCGTACGGAATAATCCAAGAAAACGTACGACAGTGGACCACATTGAGGTAAGCACTTTGTGAGGCTAAAGTTCTGAAAGAGGTGGGATGCTGGATGGCCAGAAGCTACCAAATACATTAAAATAAACTCATGCAGTTTCTCACGATAGTGAAGTTTGATAGTTCTCACCATTACTATAGCGCAACGTTATGTTCAGTTAGCCTGGATTGAGGGATGTTGCTTGCTGTTCTTACCAAGGTACCCAGGCTGCGTTCATACCTCGCGACTTCACGAGGCGTTCAATCACAATTCGAACGCGCGATCGGAACTGACTGCGCTCTACCGCTAACTGTTGGACCGCTGCAACTGCTTATCCAATTAGCGTCATTATAGGACTTATTAGAAACCTTGCAGTGTTCCAATGATTGGCGATAGAAAACGGTCATTCGCATCGTGCGACTGAGGAACTGCGATTGATTCGCGAAGCATGAAGTGAATCTCTTAATGGCGAAAAATTCTGAGTGTACTTACTCCTTGCAAATATTCATTTCTAAATTTCGATCTGAAACGCTGAATAGTTCCAGCGCTTTCTTAGCTGATATCTCAGAGTGTGGGAGGGGAGAAACAAAACCGAAATTTAACAAAACAATAATTAATCCTATAGTGAATTGCCAGAATTGTGCGCTGGTATCAGCTTTTTTTTCGCCTGAGACCTATGCTAAAGGGAATGAATCGCAACGCAAGAAGTGGAAGCCTTGGAAAGGAAAGTTAAAAGGTATCCGAACTTCAAAACAAAGCTAAATTTTTTCTGCTTTGTTTTTCTGAGGGAAAGTTATTCCAGGGCACTCAAGTAAGTTCGAAAGAATGAAGAAAACAACAAGCGTAAGGCGTACGGAGGATAGGGATACATGAAAACCTGAGCAGTACGAGAGAGCGGCGCACTTAGAACGCAGCTATGCTTGATGGAAAAACGCAATCAAGGAAATTGAAAGTACTGTGCTGAAGTCTTCTCTGACAGGAGTGGCACTAATATTTTTGAATCGCACTTCAAAATTGAAAGAAATATTCGTAAAAATGAAATCAAAATATTATTCGTTTCTGTCAGGAGCTCTACAAATCGCTGAAAGCCGAGACGGACAGCTCTGAAGGAGCAATCCGAAAAGCAAAAGAACTGGAAAAGGAAAAAACAAAAGAGGCGAAAGAATGGGCAGAAAAGGTTTGTTTGAAGCAAAGGCACTAACAAGCTTAGAGAGAACTTTTAATGAATGCCCCCGGAGCCAAGGTTAGGGTACTTCTAAATCAAGATGAAGAGCTTAGCCTTGGGGCGACACAATAGGGAGGGAGCTCCGAGAAGTGAGCCGCTTCAAAGCACAGTAACCCTACATGGATGGCGTAGTTTCAGATTTGTGAATAGTCAAACGATCAAGTGAAGGCTTCGAAAAGTTTATACTCCTCATTTATCCTCCACGGCAACCCTCAGCCGGATCGTAATGCGACGCAAAATCAATAAGAGATTTCACTCGTTTGAGTGTCTCTGGAAGTAGCGTTAAACACAACAGGAATACGGGGCCAGACTCTTATTCGCCCATCGTTTTCGCACTTTGCACTCTTGATTTAGCGCCCACCTACATACCGATTGTACTGTGATTCTACAATCGAGAGCGTCAGAGACGAAGTACCCCTTCCGCCAGGCTTTGGAGTGTTGCAGGTCGATTTATTTAGAGGTGCATATTCATTATGGAGCGGGACTTTCCTCATATGAACTTAAAGACACATTTCGCAATGATTTCAAATACCCAAAACCATGTGTGAAGGACGGTACATAGCACATAGATCCTGAAGAGGGCCTGATCAAGTGCCCGAGCGGTTCAATTCCACTTAATATTTTCCCGTCACTCATTCAGGAGGCGGCTGAGAAATGGAAGCCGAAGCCGCGGCGACTCGATCAAAACAACTCGCTGACCGACTCAATGCCGAGTTAAAGGTCCAACAAGACGAAAATCAAAAACTTGTGGAGCAAAGGAAAGCGCAGGTTCGTTAAAGATTCACAAGTAAAGAGTATACTCTCTCCAGAAACTAACTAACAAAAGTAACTCGTCGTCGTATGAATTTTAGCATTCTCTTGAACTTTTGGAGTTCCTTTCATTCCTTGTTCTCATGCTTACTAACTTCTGATGAGAATTTCAAGGGATGAATGTTTTCACCCTGAATCCTTTTGCTGCTTTATTTGTTGCTTTGTTAATTATCGACTTGTTTCACGGTTTATTTTATCTTACTAGCCAAGCTGGTCAGGAGGGTCTACGGACAGCCTTCAATCGCGCCAATTTCTGTTTTTCTCTGCCCTCTCACGTTCACACTCTTTCTCCGGCCACTTAGACCTTTCACATTCCAACTTTGCACATATGATAAGTGACTCACCCACCCGAAAGTCAGCTCTCTCTGGAAAAAATATTATGCCCGGTTCTCGCGACATGTTTTTTGCATCTCTCGACCTTGCAGCCACAGTCCCCTATTTCTCTGCCTCTGGCGTTTCGCGCCAGGGACCCTACTAGACGTTTTACTCACGTAGCCGTTCAGGAATTGATGAACAGCGAGCTGTCCGACCGACTGAATACCTTACAAGAAAAACACGACAGAGCAGAAAACCAAAGAAATCGGATGCAGGAAGATATGGAAAAGTTCGAGGAGAAATATCTCGCGGAATTACGACAGAAGGATGATTTGGCCAAAGGTATCCTGCAAATTCAATTCACCACAGTCAAAAATAGTACCTGTCAGGTGAAATGGGCGAAATGGGGCACATTTTCGTGCTTTTGGTTCCTGACC